TGACTTAAATCTGATTTATTGAGAACAAATCTTCGATGGGTACTAAAAATGACGTTTGTACAGAATTTCTCATGTAGTGCATTTTTGTATTTTGATTAAAGCTATCTCAATTCTGGTAATAAGAAAGTCTTTTATATACCACTTTGTAGAAGGATGCTTGCTCTACAAAATCCCCAATCTGTTTCTTTTTCTACATATCATTGCACTTCAGGAGAATATGTTGAACTTCAAATGTCAAAATTAGCAAAAAACGATTCTTTCGAGAAACGTTGTTTCATGTAAAGAGCGGCATTTCGGAAAATGTTTGTCGCTTTTAAGTTTTATTTTATTGCAGCCGGAAGTTTTGTAAAACATTAAATATTCTACAAAAACAGCAAACAGAAATTATCCAATAATATCCTTTAGAGAGTTTACGCATAACAAGAGAACAGCTTAATGCAAACGACATTTTTTATTTATCCAAATATTTGCTTACAGCTAACTAACTGCAAGTCTGAGTAAAACTTTAAGAATATATTTAGAAAGACCATCAAATTCTAGCTCTGGAACACTACTTTCAGTTCTCTTCAATTACATTCAAGTGTCCAAAAAATGAGCAAACATACGTACCAAGATCTGCGAAACTAGTGTTTTGTACAAACGTCATTTTTAGTACTCATCAAAGATTTTTTCTCAATAAATCAGATTTAAGTCAGAAGAAATTTCTGAGTATATAGTTAGAGAGAGAGCATGAAATTCTCATTCTAGCTAACTACTTTTAATTCTCTTCTACGACCTAGGACTGGATGAAAAAAGGAATAAAGATGTTGTGCAAAAACTTTTTACACGTAGGTTGTTTAACAACACCAGTAATTTCATGACCTAATACTATAGGATAGTTTGAATTTTGTCATTCATTTTTAGCTTGATGAATATCTGAATGACATACACCACAGTGTAATGAATTCGTATGAACATATGATCAACTTTTGGTACACCTCTTTCAGAATCAAACAATTTGAATGAAGAAGAAGCACTATCGACGGCAAAATCTTTAGTTGCAATAGGTGCATCATGATTTACACCATTGCTTACAATTTTTTCTTCAGTTTGATTAACAAAAGTAGGCCTAAATAAAAAGAAATCAGTAGCATTTTTACCAATGAAAGGATGAGAAAAACTAATAGTTTCAATTCATTTTGTTATACTTACGGTGAAGAACCTATATCCAATGAAAATGAAATCTATTGGAAATTGAAGAAAATAAAATAACAAAAATGTTCAATATTGGAAGATTTTTAAATAGAAGTAAAATTTTTTTACTACGTTGTAATGCTATTACTTCCGTCTGCGTCATCATCATGACATTACACTATTTATTCGTCACAAAACAATAAGTGCATTTTTGCTTCTTTCCTTTCAATAGTATTGATGTACGATTCTTATCATTCTGAATCCACTGATTGATTTGCACTTTAATATCCCACGCAAATACAGTTCATATGTCTTTTCAGATTGATTCTATTTGATTCATTATTTGAAAATAGTTGATAATAAGAATTTTTGTCCTGAAAATATGGTCCATACCCATAGATTGAAGCAACATTCCCGAAAAAAAAGTAACTTGTCACGGAAAATCAAGAAAACTTACAACATCGATGAAACGTTCTATGTGAAAGCTTGCTTGTTTGTTTGTAAGTCTTGGTCTACTGTTAATAAACAGATGATGATTTATCTCATAATTTTTATCAGCTAGGAAATATTATCGTGCTTTTCTGCGTACATGAAGTAGAGTCCAGTAGATTTCGCCTGCCTGGTGAATATATGCGATCGAAAACCAGCGTTTTTTCTTTCACACTAATTGTAAGAGAGTTTACAAATACTTAATTGTGAACATATTATATTTAGTTAATCATGCAACTTTTTCTGTGGAAAATTTTTCTTTCATAAATCAAGAAAATAGATTATCTAAATGATCGATTCATATATAAGATGATTATGATTCTTTAATATATATGTATTTTTGTTTTCAATATGAAAACAATAGTAGTTGACTTGAACTCTCGAAATTGATAAAACTACAAAAAATAACTAAAAAAAATGTCTTGGTTTTCGTTTTGTTTTTAATCATATAATTTCAATGATGTTTCTTTCATTTATTTCAATAAAATAATCATACATATAATTACATATATAAAGTAACATGTTCTTCTACACGTTTTTTATAAACAATATCCCATTGTTGTTCTTTAATACGACGACATAAAAATGAATAAAAAAAATTATGACAATAACCTTGATGAAATGGATTAAGATCTTCATTTGGTAAACGATTTAAATATGTTATACGATGTCTTGATACACGTTCCCACGTTGTTGAATTAGTTAAAGCAAAAACTGAATGAATACATAAAAGTATTGTTGTTGCACATAGGGATATAATAAGAACATGCATTGCAAATAAACGAAATTTATTTATATGTAACCATGACGACCAATCACTGAATGGTACAAATGAACCACTTAAAAAAGAAAAAAGAATAATAAATCAAAAAAATAATAATAATAATAGATCATATAATTATACCTGCATAACATAATTGACCATACAATAAGTATATCTGTTGTAAGAAGAAAACACCAAAAATAACAATGATTATATTCACCGATACATGTTTCTAAATATGGACACTAACAAAAACGACAAGAATTTTATGATTTTAAAATTATTTAAAAACATTTTACATGATGATCATATTTGAGTACACATCGATTACAAAAGTCACAATGATGACTTCGAAGAGGTTGCTAAAGAAAAATTTAATATCAAAAACAAAAAGACTCCTTGTTATTTTCATTATTTATTTATTTTTTTTACTTCAATATTGCACAAAAGACATTTGCGTAAATAATTGTTACTAGTTGTCACTGGCTGTTGTCCATTACCTTCATTCTCATCATCATCGTCTGATGTTGACATCATGCCTCCAGTCCAATTAGGTATCTATTCCAATAAATTAGAATTATTGGAATTAGTTATCATATTTTAGTATATAAGATATTTAGTCATACTCGTTTATATGGTACATAACCAGGGTCAGTATAACAAGTCATAAAATAAAAGAAAAGTGACACATAAACGAGTAGACCATAAGCAATATAATAAAAATAGTTTGATGTGTCATATATAGCCGTGCGAAGATCTGAATAAGCGATGCAATCAAAAATCACACATTAAAATTCTTTTTTTTTCTTTTTTTTATTTAGTTTCAATATCAAAATTTACCAGATGGTTGAAATAT